CTTGGCCACTACCTCATGAACATGCTTATAATAAACAATTCTGTTCTTTTACCCAGCTACCTCAGTCGGTAGAGCATGAGACTCTTAATCTCAGAGTCGTGGGTTCGAGCCCCACGTTGGGCACTAATTTATCCCGTCTCTGTTTAAGACTCAGGGCAAGCCCAGGGAGAAGGATTTTCTCTCTATTGTCCCCTACTCTCCCAGGGGAGGATTAGAAAAAAGAGAATAGAGAAAAAGATGCTTCGCACAAGGTTGGAAGTTAAGATTGTAACAAGTTTAATGAAAAAAAGAAACCAACAAGGGAAAGGAAAAGGGAATTAATAAGGGATAAAGGATACTTAACTATATACAAAACCCGATCCCAGTAGTCCCGAGTGGAAGTGTCCGAGCAGTGCTCATGGCTGCTGTGACTTGTCACCAGGGACCGCAGTGGTGCCGGGAGCGGATGGTGGTCGATGCTGCCGAGCACGTGGAGCTAGGCCCAGCTGTCCTGAGATGCGACAGGAAGCAGCCCAGGAAACCAGGAAAAGCCTGTGAAAACCTTGGGCCTTCTCAGTTTTTTATAGACTGTGGCCGGAAAAGGGAGGGAACAGTACTGATCTCGGACCTCCCAGGGTCCTACAGACACCACCTGTTCTTCTCTTTCAGGCTGGTAACCCTTAAACCATAACAATCTTCTTCCCACACACTCATTTCCCTCTCCTTCCTACTGAATTTTCTCCCTTAGTTATAGAGTAATAGTGTTCTGCAATCAGCTAGTACAAAATCTCAATTAAAACACCTCACTACACCACATCCCCCAAATTTACATACTTTCTAGCTCCTCCTGTTTGTAAACTTTCAGGATTACAGATCTGTATTTGGTTTAGGAGCACTACATTGAAACTAACTTTATTAAGCTAGATCATTGTTCTCATTTGCAATGAGCAGTCCAGAACAGTGCCTCAGTGAATCTCAGAATAATGTTTGTATTTTCCTTTATTACAACTCTTAACTTACCATTTAAGAGAATGGAGTTTAACACAATCATCAAGTTCTTCAGCTTTGTGAATTCCAAAAATCCACAGAGATAGATTTTTGAAACAGCTTATAAAAAGCTCTAGGAAATGATCCTTCTAAAGGGAGTGGAAATGAACAAACCTGTAAGACAATAAAAAATTGAACATTTTTTCCTTTCATCTCAGATGCAAAAAGAAAATTACAGTTCTGTGATCCTTCATGTAGGACCTGTGAGAAGTCTGCTGATATATGTACTTCGTGTCCAGAAGGTAAGAGACTTTAGTTTATTTGGGTAAGTTTTGCAAGAGGCTAAAATATTCTGTATCCTACACACTCCTAGGGAATATTTTAATCAATGATCACTAGAAAGTTCTTTGTCAGCTTAAAGTATAAAGAGGTAATCAGATAATCACCAACTGAAGTCAGGCATCAGCTAGGAAATAAGCACATGCCCTTGGCAATGCAGGTGAAAAAAAAATAGGTGGTGTTCCTCCTTTTCTTTGTTTTCAATCAAAAGTTGTAGCCATGATGCAGCAACTACTTAATAGGGATTTATTCAGGATGATATGCTGGATAATCCTGGTGATTCATCCTAACCTTAAATTTCAGTGAAGGTTGAGCAAAATACTTTGCGAATTGGCTTAAAGAATGTTTTATTTGTGTTTATAGGCATCACAAACCTAAATTTCCAGGAAGTTGAAAACCTATATAGCCATACAAGGCAAGAATCTTTTAAAAATATATTTCTAATTGGTGTCTTTCCCCACCTGGGCTGCTCTTTTGCCAGGAAAATTTCTCATCCATGATACCTGTGTTTCTCTGTGCCCTCAACAAACTTTTGGCAATGTTGCAAGTGGAAAGTGTGAGATGTGCATGAATGGCTGTGAGGTGTGCTCTGACCACTGGCACTGTCAGAAGTGCCAGGCTCAGCAGGACCAGCCACTCTTCCTCCACAAAGGCAGATGTTTACAGGTTTAAGTAACACCTGCTGGATAACTACTTTTTATTTTCTCACTGTGCTCCTTCTCTTTAAAGTTCAGATCCACTATAAAACTTTCAAGGGAGACGTTAATGTAAGCTAAGCTAGCAGAAACTCCCACAAGGTGAAGGCAATTTTCAGTTGGTACAAACAAACAGCATTTTCTCTTGCATAGAGAAACAGTTAAAAATCAAAAGTGAAACTAGACAGGAAATCCCATGATAGATAGTACAGCTCCCATTAACTTCAATAGGACCATGGTACTTCAGGATAGTTCTTCATGGTAACTGATAATAAGACTCTAGTTATCGTCCTAACTTGTTCCTTCCTCATAGTAGAAGAGAGCAGGGGTTGTGCACCCAGAAAGTGGATGTACCTGAGTCCTGATATGAAAATAAAGTGCTTAGTGGTACATTTTTCTCTTTGGCTTATATTCTGTATTTTTCCTGTAATAAATGGAATTCAAAAGGAAAGATTCCTATTTGACTGTGATGGATATTAGATCAGGCACTTGAGTAGATCAGGTTCTCCTGTTTCTGTGCTTTTTTCATCAGCATCCATGATACCTATTTATATACAAAAAATCTGTGCTAAATAGTATGAAGATCTTGCTTGGTTAACATTTTTCTTTAGAAAAATGTGCAGCTCCTGCTTTTCGTATCACCAGTACAAGTTATCAGGCAGTACTTTCCTGACAATTACTTTGTCAAATAAGTCAACAAGGGCCAGTGGAACAGATTCTGATTAAATGTCAGAGTAAATGCAAAGTAATTGCACTACTCCAGTCCAGAAACAACTTTTAATATCAGAAATCATGACAAGCAAGCAAAGATAATGTTTCGGCATTAATATGTTTGTTCCCCACAGTTATCCCATACAAGGCAGGTATAACAAAATTAAACCTTGTCATGTATCACTAGTCATCTCAGTTGTTATTATCTCTTTTTTCCAAGTACCAGACTATAAATAATGGCTTCCTTGACATCATTCAGCAAGGTCCACCAGAGTTAAATCTGGTTTCAGCCTCTGAGGCAAAGCTCTTGAGGCATAACTACTCTCCACTGAAGCAGAGGATTGCATGAAATTTTTTTAGGGTTTTTTTTGCGTTTTGAGACATGCTGTACCTGATGGAAAGGGTTGACTTGCCGCATTGATAATTTCTGACAGATGATTTTTGAAAGATTGGGCTAGCAGAGTACTCAAGATTAGAATAGAAGAGAGGACTGTGAGAAATAGATGCAGGATCATGACAAAGGTTAGGAGAAAAAAAGAAGATGGGAATAGATGGCAGGCACAGATCTTCCTATCTTTTATCTATCCTCACTCCTAATACATTTCCACAGCCTTTCTTTGGAAAGATATCTCCAACAAGGAAAGGAGAGGCACCCCTTCAAAGCAAAAAGAACAAGCCTATTAATGTGAAGTACATTTTCTGGGACTACTTTCTGTGTCAACTTCTTCCTTAGTTACCATCAATGGTAACCAATGTAGGCAGATTGGATAGCATCCACCTTCTCCTTTTATCCCTCTTCTCCTGAAATATAGGCACAATTTTTTGCTGTATTTTCTTTATGACTAATAGTCCCAACCATTGTTGTCTACAGTTGCTCTCACACAACAGATACCAGCAGTACCATGCTCTCTCCTCACTGTCTCTAGCTTGTTGTTATTTCCCCACTATCTCTAGCTTGTTGTCACTAAGCACATGTGGTACTTGAGTGTCCTGGCTTTGTTGTTTTTTTTTCTTACTTCCAGTCTTTTTTACTCCTTATTCTCTCCAGCCTTCAGTCAGCCACTGAGGTTATACTTCTCTGTCTTTCCCTGATATCACTGTTGAGAGCCAGCTGTCCAAGACTAGAGACTGCATCTTTCTTTTTGCAAACATTATAGATCTTCCTATCTCATGTAAGGGGAAAATCAAGAAATGATCAAGAAAGAAAATCCAACAGCCCTTAGAGAGATGTACAGGGACAAAGGAAGGCCAGGCTCCCTTCACAGCACTAACCATGCACATTTTCTGCTTGTGGGCAGAGGGGATGTAATCAGGTGGAGGATGGGCAACAAATTGTTTAAGAAACCAGTTTGACCCAGTGAAATGCATGTGCTGGGGAAGACTCATATATACTCTTAATTCTTATAGCCTGGACTCTTTGATAACTATATTGACTTGCAGTTTGCTTTATGTTTGTTTTCATTCAATAGGGGATATTTTAATGATTCTGAGACTTGTGAGGAATGCAGCGGATCATGTAAGACATGTGTGGGAAGTGCAACCAAATGCCTGTCCTGTAAAAGTCCTTTGCTTCTGGAACAATGGAAATGTAAACCTACCTGTTCAGAGAAGCATTTTGCCTCTGAAGGAATCTGCAAACACTGCTCTGAAATGTGTCAGGAGTGCATTCACAATCAAACCTGCAAAGGTATTACAAAGAACTGGTCTTGACTTGGCTCAAATCCATCTTGATCTATCTAGAGACAGACTAACAGAAATACAGATCTGAAAAGAAATTCTGTAATGAGCAAAAATTAAAAGAATTATGTACATATAATTGCTAACCTCTAAGACAGAGGCTAAGTAATCAGTGCTTTATGATGAGGCTCAGTCTAAGTCATTAATCTGTACAGATTTCACATTGCTCTTCCTGTTCCTGTTGTCCTTCAGAGTCCTGCTGGTTTGATTCTATTTCTGACCCAATGTATCCATGCTGAAACACTTGCATACACATTTTCACCAATGTGAAATACAGAATGTTTTTTTCCCTAGTTTGGTTGAACTTTACATCTGTTTACCATTTTTGCAAATGACTGCTTATGGTAGAAAATTAAATCTCTGCAAAGAAAATAATAGGAAATCCTTGGATATCCTGGTGAGTTGGAATGACCCCACAGAAATTTCCTGGATCTTTAATATTGAGCAAGCCATTCTGGAAATATAAACATGGATGAAACAACAACAACAACAACAAAGAAATCATAAATAAAGCTACTAAACCAAGTACTCATAATAAAATGAGCAGCTGAACCCCACCTCTAGGCAAAGACAAATATTCAGGTCCACATACATATTCCAGCGAGACTAATATTTTAAATAATAAACCAAAAAAATCTTCAGATGTGGACATCCCTGATTTTACAGGAAGTTTGTAATGCAGATACAATATCTCAGCAGAAGTCCACACATATCCAGTGGCAGCATGGTTTGGTTAATATCAGCAAAACTGAACAGGTGACTTGGCTTCTTAGTCTCATGATATAACACAGAAGATGCTGTGTGAGTGTTGAGCCATTATGGGCAGTTTAAGAGTCGAAAAGGAAAGAACTACCTTCCCAATATGTCCACTTACACCCTGTTATGACATGTGCTTCAGGATCTAAGGTTTCCTTGGATTTCTTCACTCTCTCACTTACTGAGGTCAGAATTCAGTGCTCGTTTGCTTACCTGTTGTCTGCTGCTCTTTGCAGAGTGCGTGGATGGCTTCTTCCTGCACAAGGGGACGTGTGTGCAGGACTGCCCTTCTCACTTCTACGCTGAAGACAAGCACTGCTTTCCCTGCCACGCAGACTGCAAGGATTGTGTCGGGCCAGACTCGGATGACTGCACTGAGTGCGCCATCGATGACTTTGTCCTTTACAGTGGCAAGTGTTTTGAAGAGTGCCCTGAAGGGACTTACTATGACGAAGCCACTGAAGATTGTCAAGGTTGGCAACTGTTATTTTCCACAGAAGGATATTGACATACAAGTTGGTCTAGTTAGAGACTAATCCAAAAGGGCCTGCATGTGCCAGATAAATTCACTATCAGTGTCCTGGAAATGGACGAGATAGATAGCTAATGCAGAGGAAAAAAAAACCAAACCCCCCAAAAACTCCAAAAAACCAACAAACAAACAAAACCAAAAGCCAAACAAACAACGGAAAAACCCACACAAAAAACCAAAGCACAGCTTAGAACAGCAAAATCTGGAGAAAATTGAAAGGAAGGTAGCAAAGCTAGACATATTTAATATTATGGGCAACTGCTCTGGTAAATTGCTGAGTATTGCTGCAGACAGTATGTTGAAAACCACTGCTCAGCACAAGCAGTGCCAGTGCAAAAGGAAACCTAAGGAACTGCCTGTATAAGATGGAATCAGTAAAACGTTTGACTAGGCAGAAGCAGAGCTATTGCTTGGTTTCCCTCAGGCTCTCAGCCTAAGATGATGGCTGTTCTTTGCAAAATTAAAGCTGAAATAATAATCTGAAATACAACACAAACTGGTGACATTCCTACTGTTTGTCCATTTCAGCATGCAACAGAACATGCCAGACTTGTTCTTCTTCCACTGCCTGCCTCACCTGCAGAAATGGCCTGATGCTGAACCATGACGGGCACTGTGTGGCATCTGGATACTGCTCTAGCAATGAGTACTATGTTGAGAAAACTCAGACCTGCAACCCTTGTCACAAAAAATGCTTCCACTGCTCAGGACCCACCGAACATCAGTGTCTTAGCTGTGTGAATAACCGCTATCTACTCAGTAAGTGTCTTGCTCCTGCCTCTAGATTTTATTCTACACTGAAAACATGAAATAGGCAAGTTTCTGTCACATGTATGAAACACTAGGGCTGCTTCAGTCAATCTAAATATTGCAAAATTGACCTGACAAGTAGATAACTTCTGCAATGATAATTACTTCTGTGGGGCTACATGGAAACTCTTTGTGTGACTTGGTTTGCCACTCACTGGGTCCAAAGCGGGACTTCAAAGTAGCAACAAACTCCATGGCTAAACAAAACTTCTATGTTTCATGTACTTGGTATGTACTGTTCCTATCATTTCCTACAGGAATTTCAAAGTACAAGAGGGATATCCTTAGCTTTTTTTTTTTTTTAATGTATGCATGAAGAGCTCACATTTTCATGCTGGCTGTTTGAGGTGTTTCATAGCAGCAAATACTGAGTATGATGTGTTATTCTGCATTGTTGTCTGTGTAGATACAACCTGTGTGGAAGCATGCCCAGATGGCTATTATGTTGACAGCAATGAGAGACAATGTTCCCCGTGCCACAGCGCTTGTGTCAGTTGCACTGGGAAACACAGCTCACAGTGCCTTTCCTGCAAACCAGGCTGGTACAGACAAGGAAAAGGATGTGTAAACCAGTGTCCATCAGGGTAAGGTCCAAGATCTTTCATTAAGAGCTACATCACCAAGAGAGCTCTGAGAAATTAGATCACTCTGCCTTATTCTACCTCAAAGTGAAATTGCACTGAATTCTATTTTCAGGTGAAAAATTCTTACTTTGTCCCAGTAGAGAGGTGGTGGAAAACCTCTCCTCACAATAGAAAACTGTAAAGTTGGTCCTCAAATTAGGACCAGCTTGGTGTGGTGTGGCCATTCTTACACTCCAAGGATGCTCTTAGGTTATGTTTATGCAGAACAGGGTGAAGTAGAATAAATACACAGAGTTACATGTTAGTCAGCTTGAGTACAGGAAGTTGTGTAACTTCCTTTAAGAGCCCTTGCAGCCTTCACTTAATCTGAAGTTTGGATGAGGTTACTTTCATTTTGTACTGAGTGAATGTTTATAATGGATCATAATAAAACCAACCATTAAACCACTTTTCAACTGAGGACTCATAATTCTAGGAAGCAACTTCATTAATATGAGTCTATTTAATTTCAAAATGTGAATTCAGTGTGTTCTTGTGAATGCGTCTCAGAAATTAAAGTTTTGGAAGTGGACCTAGGATTTCTGGTCAGGTCCATTTCCTTTTGGAGGACAGTACGATCACACTTGCTGCTAAATTCAGTCATCATTCTGTTAAACTGGAAATGACCACATCCCAACAAAACCACAGTGTAGCTCTTCTTCTTTTTCTCTGACAGCACAACTTAGGTGAACACTGCTCCTTTGCCGATATTTGTGCTCTGAAAGGGAATACGAAATGTCTGAATTTCGATCTGAGAGCATGTAATGAGAAGCAGCGATTAATTCAGTGCTTACCCAACATCTTAAGGGTATCTCTTGCAGAGCCAAAACGGAGTTGATGTTTTCTGAGCCATGCCTGCTTATATACTTACTTTGTGTCTGAATTCACCCTTGATTTTAGACAGTCTTGCTTTATACGCCCGCAGTTTACAAAGTCTTACTTTATAGGTGAATTCTAATGGCCAAGGGGAATTAAAGGACATTACTTCTATTTTCACTGAGATTGCAAATGCTTACTGTGATCACATCAATATCACTTTTTTGCATTGATGTAATCGCAGTAAAAGCTAAGGATGAAGGATGTTTTGTTTTTCCTGCCACTGCTAGGCTTTATGCAAAGCCATAATTATTTGATCTGTTTCAGATATTTTGCACAAAACTCCACTAGATCATGTGACAGGTGCCACAAGGGCTGTAAGGAGTGCATGGGGCCTCAACCCACAGACTGCCTTTTCTGCGATACATATTTCTACCTGTTGCGCTCCAAGAACAAATGTGTCAGCTCCTGTCCTGAGTATTACTATGAAAGCAACGACAACATCTGTGAAAGATGCCACCCTTCCTGTCAAACTTGTGAAGGTAAAAGCATACACTCGACTCTGACAAAGAAAAGGGTTATCAAAACACCTGCAAGGATTATCAAAACACCTCCTATCTCTATTTTTTCATAGAAATTTTTTCCTATTTCTATTTTTTCATTCTCTGCTCCAAGATGTGGAAGCACTTCACAAAGAGACATACCATGTATAGCACTACCAACCTGTCCATGACCTAGGTAGCTGCAGTAGGTTATGCAGAGCTCCACCAGGGCTGTCAGGCTCTCCCTGGCCCTGGGTGACTTCCTGCGCTGGCTGCTTCATGTTGCCACCTTACTTTTACAGTCTTGATTGATGTTGATCTGAATTCCTGCCAAGCCCACCGCAGGGCTGCCTCCAGCCACAAGTGTAAAAGCAGCTGCTCACGGAGAGGGCTGGGAAAAAGTCCCGGTGCCAAGTCAGCGAAGGGGAACAAACTGACAGCGGTAATGAGGTTTCCATCAGCCAGTCCTCTCACAAAGGTGCTCATCAACTGAAAAAAAAGGCCTCTGTTGGCTACAGAGCTGGAACTTGTTACTCACACAAACACTGAATAATGAGTGAATAATATCTCATTCTTTGAGTTGTCCCACTATGTCTTACTCTGTGAAAGACAAGGAACCTAAATCCAGCCACACATTTTCACAGTCTGCAGAGGGAAAAGTAGAACATCAACAGCTAACAACGCTTAAGAGAACAATAAGGCCATAAAGCATATCTTTAGGGTGGGAAAAAAAGCAGCGATTGCTGCTTTTATATAGTATATAATATTGTTAAGTATTTTTCAAAGTTAACTTTGAGAGACCATCCATTTTATTCTGTGACACACTTAGGTATTCAGTTTCTTCTTTTTCCTAATTCATCCAATTGTGAGGCAAGTAGCATTAATCCCCTTGGACCTATTTGATGTCCTATCTGAACAGCATCAAATGATAGCTAACAGGTGCCACTTTACAGCTTATATCACACCATATCGTAATATACAAAATTCATTTTGGATAGTGGATATGCTGGATACCACAGATGGCTAATTGCAACATAGGAAATCGTGGAAATAACTCAGAGTGAAGTGACCTTCAAGAACTATTAAAATGTAATTGTATAACAACATTGTAACAAGTAACAGAAATATTTTGGCTTGGATCTGGCACAAAAAGCGATTTTAATTTACAGTATTTTTACTTTATTTGGGATTAATACTGTGGGACAGATTTTCTATTGTAATTACAGAGACACTAAGATGAAACGAGCCAGTTCAAAACAGAAGATCTGTCAGTGTTCTGAATGCATTTGCATTGCTGATAGAGGATTAAAGTGTTGTGGCCTTGCTTTTTTTAAACTCTGAACTGCTTAGAAAAATCACATAGTAAAATCACTGGGTTATAGAAGGTTGCTAACCTCACCTGTTTAACTGCTGCTAACATGAACTACTTGCATTTCCGTTTTCTTTCTTTTATGTCAGTGGCAAAATGCCTTGTTGCAGGGAAATGGACTGGTGCATCTTAACATGTAGGACAAGTCCTTAACTTCAATGTTTCACAGAAATACTGCATGTACCATCCATCTTCAAAAAGAGTCTCCAACACACGAAGTGCACATGATGCTCTCTTTGCATCTAGGAGGTTCTTTTTTACGTATGCAACTAAAGAATTGATTTTGCTATTTAAATGTAAACATAATTAATTCATTGTGGCTTTAAAAGGGTTAGCTAGCAGGCCTAACAAGTAATAATTTTGTGAAGGGGAACATTTGTCCAAGGTTTCCCATTAATTTACTTCAGTGCAGAGACTTAATTAATTTTCCTGAATGTGTCAGAGCTTCCTTGTACAACTGCTTTCCAAATCAGCTTTCAGTGAATATCAAAACACATAAGAAGTATACTTTGCAGGCACATAAAACCTCAAGACAAGGCCCAAGCTTTTTCTGATAACAACCTCCTCATGCTGAACTCCTCACTGCTGATTCTTGCTGTTGACAAATAGCCTTTTCTTTGGCGGCAGTCGTAAAATTTCTGAAGCAAATTTGATCACAATTTTCTTGTTGTAATATTGTTGTTTCATTTGCCTTTCTAGGGAATGGAGCATTCAGCTGCACATCTTGTGTATGGAGCTACAGTTTATTAGGAGGAATGTGCAACTCAGACTGTTTTGTAGGTGAATACAAACTCCAGGAGACACCAGGACAAGAGGTACTTCTTTGTAGGCATTTTCTCCTGTGAATTGTATGCTGAACTTCAACTTCTGAACACAATACAAACAACACAGAATGCTCTTGTCAGAGTCTTTAAGGCTGCTGATATTTAAATAGTATTACTTTTTTATTCTCTTGTCGGAGGAAGCATTGTTTCTCTAGAAAGAGTTGTTGACTATAATTCTCTACCAGTAAATATAAAGGCACAACTTTGTCAATGATGGTACCAAAACCACATAAACAAGATCAGCCGTGTTAGTAATAGAGCATTTTTTTCTTCTTCCACTATAACTGAGATTTCCCCATTGATTTCTGCTGCTTTGTCTGTAAGAAATCACATCACATTCCTGATGACAGCTCTGCTGGCAGAAACCTATAGTGGAGATACAAGCTGAAGTTAGCAGAGCCGTGTATTTAGTGGAGTAGTACCACAATTAGGTTTGGGTCTGTGCCACAAGTCTGGGCACTCCAGCTTCCAGATTTCTACACCAACTGCCTTCCAAAGATGTTTATTCAAGAATATAGCAGCAAGGCAAGCCAGCTGACCTAAGATAGTGTATACCCTGGAGTCTATGGCCTGAAATATCACTTTAGCAGTGCTGCTCCATAACTGTGAGCCTGAGAAAAAAAGCCTACGAGCTGAGGACCAAGAGGTCTGTGGTTCTTCGCAGCAGCTTTGACTCTGAGAAACTGGACCTCCCACCATGACCCCCTCTTGCATAGGTTCTTCCATTCAGAACAAGCAGCCTTGCAGCTCTGGCAAAAGTTTGATGAAAGGGTATTGGAGTTTCCAGATCCTCACAGTGGATGTGGGATTCTGGTCACATGGTAAAAATTAGCAATGTTTCCCAATAGGCCACACTGGAAGCCTTAAATTACCTGAGCTCAGAGCATTCAGCAAGTTAGGTGAGACAATTATGACCTCTGATAGTCTTTGTACACAGAGACTCCCAGGAGCCCATCTGGAATTTGAGAACCGTATTTGAATCTAAGTTGTTTCTGTAAAACAGAACCATCATAATCTAATAAAAATCTAGTTTGCTAGAAAATTTCCAGCCAGCCTTATTCCTTATTTCCCAAGTTAGAAAGGAAACTCATTCTCTCAGCTGCCTTTTTGGTTTATTTTTCAGACTGTTTTGTGTTGCTTCTCCCATGGCAGTAACTTTTAATGATATTCTTGAGTATGCTTCCTGAAGGCCACTTTACCATTATTACTGCCAATGAATAACAGATCCGCTAGCATGAGACTAGCAAAGCAAAAGCACGTTTTCTGACTAAAATGCTTAAAGGCTGAATGAATTTTAGCTTGCTGTCTGGCTAGGTGAGATCTCTAACTGTTCCTTACACCACTTCCCCCCATCTTCCTACAAATTGAAATCACTGAGAACCCAGGAAATATGAACCACATTTTAGCTCCTATTCCCTGCTGTATATTGCCACTGACACTGGTGGTACCCAGAGATAACCACCCAGACAGTGAATGACAGTACAGAACTGCCAGGTCAGGTCCAAAGAATCCAAAACAAAAGGTGCATGTTATGTGTCTGAAGGAGGACAAGTCCAAGTGTGAGACATGTGACAGCTCGTGCACTGAGTGCAAAGGACCTGGGCCTTTCAACTGCACAGTCTGCCCGGCCAGCATGCAGCTCTACCTGGAGGAAAGCCGCTGCCTACCCTGCTGCAGTGACTCCGATCCGGCAGCTACCCCAGAGTGCTGTGACTGCAGTCAAACACAAGGTAGGACCATGCCGTACTGGTGCTGAAGGGCTTTGTGACTGTCTCAGCTGACACTTAAAAATCAAAAGGGGGACGGAGCAAAAATGTGCTATGGAGCTGCAGGTACACAGTGTGTTTCTGCTGCTCTATCAGCAGAATAGGAAGGGCTTCACAAAATAACAGCAATTGTGGCTGGTGCAGGAAATGGCATCTTCTTTCACTCACAGCTGTTGTGTTAAATGGCCAGGCATTTCATAAATCAGGTGACTGGGAAGTGCTTGCTTACATCCCTATACCATAACAGCTACAAGAATACAGTTGTGGTACTGAAAGAGTAAGGTATTTAATAAAATGCATTTAAAAACATAAGCAAGCATAAACATTGTACTGGATCTTTCAAGAAAAATATCCCGCTGCCATACATACACACACACACACACATGCTCATTTATTTTATTTATTTGTTGTTGTTGTTGTTGAACTGTTGTAGATGACTGTGTACTACGGATCACTTTACCACCTGAGAGCAAAAGCAAAACTGCTTTCTTTGTTATTTCCTGCATTTTGCTTCTCCTCGTCATTGGAGCCATTGTATTTATCTGGAGAAAATCACGAGCCAAAACCCAGGCTGTCAATAAAGGTGGGTATGAGAAGCTGACAAATCACTCAAAAACCTTTCCTTCCTACATAAGCACCTACCGCAACAGTCCCAATTACCAGGAAGATCAAGTGATTGAGTATAGAGATCAAGATAACGAAGATGATGATGAAGAAGATGACATTGTGTATATGGGCCAGGATGGCACAGTCTATCGCAAATTTAGATATGGACTTTTGGAGGATGATGAGGAAGATGAGCTTGAATACGATGACGAAAGTTACTCATTTAGATAACTCTTTACTAATTTATGGGTTTCCTGCTCTGTTGCTTTTCCTGTTAAATTACAGCTATTTAGTCAAGTATGCTTAGTTACTTCTTAGCATGCTGAGCTCAAGATTTTAGTTAACACTTACTGTGAGAGCAAAATGGTTTCTAAAAACAATTTTTCTTTTACATGGATCCTTGCTAGGCTTTTAAGTAGCACTCCAGATGTAGGCTGGTTAAGTGATTATATTTCTGTGCATTTGTGGGGAGAGAAAATCCAAACCCAGTATGTATTTATGTGCATTATAACTAATACAAACTGCTTCAAACCATGCACACATGCTTACTGAGAACTTTGCCAATCACTACTAGAAATGTGCAGATATAAATAAGATGGATGTATTTATCTACCTTATGAATGCCATGGGGATAGAGTGCCAGTAGTTTGCTACTTTGTGATTATAGTTACTCAGCAATTCATACAGAATAGGCAAGTTTGCTGACTTTACTCAGATTTTCTTTGTTGGTATCATCTGCTGCATCTGTGTTTCTCAAAGACAACAAATTCCTCCTTATAATCTTATAGCATACTTTCCAGTGAAATTGTACATCTATGACATGATATTTTAGGATATCTGATTGTGACTCTACTCCTAGTAACCATAATGCATTCAGAGTTTGTACGAAACGTAACTAAAATATTTTATATATCAACCTCTGCTTAATCTTTATTGTGGTGTTTGTCAAATAATCTTCCATTGTACACATAAACTTCTGAATTTACTGCAAAAGGGAATACAGTCTATAAGCATGCCTACAAAAAAAATCAACTTTTGTTTTTTTAGCTACCTTCTCAGGCTACAAGGAAGTGATTTAAACACAACATTTATCTAAGCAGCTTTTCCATTTCTGTTGTAAATGGCTCAGGATGTTCAAACAATGGCAAAGGGGATAACTGGCACTTATTTGGCAACATACCTTAAAGGAACACAGCAATGTGATTTTTTTATTATTATTACAGAAATATAATTTATCATACTAAATTATGCTCTTTATGGCTCTTTGTTGTGAAAGAATAAATTCTTTGCACAAAACTGTCTTGAAAATGTTATTTGTCAAGTTTCATCCACTTTCAGAGTTAGATTTCCAGTAAGAATCTGCTCTAGAACGATAAATCAATTAATTAGATTTAGCATCTACAATGGAATTGTGTGAAAATATCTAGCATTTATGGCTCAGTGATCAGTGGAATTATTTAATTGCTCCTAAAGACCTCAGGATAGTTCCATCTGTAAGTTTAAAGAAGTTTAATGGAGAGGTTTATTGCTTTCACTTTGAATTTTAACCATTTAATCATTACACCTTTAGAAGAGAGAAAAACTAAAAGTCATGTGACTTCACAAAAGCCAAAACAAAGACCTATATTTATCAAAAGTTAGACAACAGTAAGATACTTCAGAAAGATGCGTGTTACTGTCGTGGTTTAGGGCTGGGCCGGCC